TATATATATATATATATATATATATATATATATATATATATATATATATATATATATATATATATATATATATATATATATATATATATATATCAGATCCACTTTGGTGAATAATTCTTAATTAACCAGACTTCATGTTTGTAATAAACAAATACCTTTCTTAGATTTCTTAATTTCTTGTCTTTTTCAGTTGGAGGTCCAGACACGGTGGTGAGACCTTCGGTAGTTTGGTCCGAAGATCTTTCCTCACTCTATCAAAAATATACGGAATAGTCTGAGAATGTTATATTTATAGCCCATACACCAAGAAACAATTCAGATTGAACTTGTTGATTTATTTCTACGATCGTTCACACCTTACTACCGTATGGTTAAAAAGCAAACAAACCTCATTTTCCTTTTTACTCCGAGCTTTTGCTTCCCGTTTCTTTTTATTCTTTAAAGCACTCGCAGATAATTCTTTAGACTTTTGATTCTGTGGTGGTTCTATATCATGCTAATAAATATATATAAAATCAACTGTATTGCTATTGCGCAAAAGCTATAAAGAGGCAGGGCATAGCGACCGGGAGGGGGGGGGCTCCCCCCCCAATAATTTGTAAACTAGAGATAATCTGTATAGTTTGAGTGGGAAATAATGATTTAATAATCGCCCCTGACTAATCAGCCCACCAGATACAAAATTGCTTCCAACGGTAGTGAGAGGGTCCTGAAGAGTTTTAAATGGGAGCTGGGATTCGCCTGTTTTCGGGCTGCGAAAATGAGATTTCATGCACTGGGACTGATATTCACCAACAAAAAAAAACAATAAAAATGGAAATGGGATCTGGGACGGACATGGGACAGGGACGATGGGATTTAGTCGAAATTTGGACTTGGAAACTGGGATTATAGGATCCCCCCTTCAGGACCCTCATTAAAGGTACCCCCTAGGCAAACTAGGAAAAATTATTTCCCAGCCAGGTTCTCAGAAGATGGGCAAACCAGGAAACATTGTCTCTACAATGAATTTGTTGGGGGAACACGTTTGCTTGTGGGGAGAAACTGTGGTTTTCGGCAACAATCTTTCAAATGGGGAAACATTTGATAAAAACATCGCAATTCAAATGGTTCTGTAACAATGTTTTCTAGGTTTCTTAGTCAGAAACATTTCTTGTTGGTATTGTTTATTTTATGTCCATAAACGCTTACGAAGTGAGGGTATACACCGCGTAGGCTAGTCTCTTCCCCCAAAATAAAGAGTTACAAATTGTTGAACGCTCCTGGGGATACTGCATCTGAAACTCTACCATATTTCTATTTACCAATTTTGTAGTAGAAACTGGAGTCCCTCTTGCCGATGGAGGACGATAAGCTTCGACTTTTGCTTAGAAGATAAAAAACACAACAATCATTTTATTGACACCATGACCAAACTATTTGCGCTGCAGGTGGTTACTGCAACATTGAAAGCTCTGGTTTAAGCATATTTGCATGAAAGTTAAACCCAAGAGTTTTAAGGAGTGGGATCTGCAGTAGAGGTTCAAATTTGACTTCCTCTATACAACTACCTCTCACTGCCTAAATACTTATCTGGTTAATCTGTCAATTGGATATATCAAACGTATCTGATATATAACACTCAATGATAGCGGTAGTGGAAGTCAAATCTGAACCTCTCTAGTAACACAAGGGTGGTAATATGTTGGTGACCTGAATTCCCCCCGATATTTCGCTAAGTGTCCGCTATTTGAAGAAGGTAACAATGAACGTTTTCATCAATAGTGTCGCCATCTTGAAATCCAAAATTCATTGTGGTCTATCCAAAACCAGATAAACATTCCTTGGGAGCTAAAGACAGGCGCCTGTGTTTCTTCACCACAGACTATGCCGTAGTCTACCGAAACACTGGATAAATATATTGATCATCAGAAAAGTCCCGACAATTCCGTTTCTAATTGACTAATTGCATGGCATCCAGATTCAATTGAAATGAATATTGAATTACTGTGAATTAATACCTTCAGGTTTCTTGACATTTCTTGGCGTTGTAATTGCAACCTCAGGAAAGAATCCCTCTACACGTGGTTGCCATGAAACCTTCAATACAACAAACGACATATTATGTATTGTCAAGACCTGACTGAGCAATTCGAATTGATGGTAATAATTTAAAAACCAAATATACAGCAAACTATCTGACGAAGGCAAAGTCTATTGTTTTCTTACTATCTGACGAAGGCAAAGTCTATTGTTTTCTTACTATCTAACGAAGGCAAAGTCTGTTGTTTTCTTACTATCTGACGAAGGTAAAGTCTATATTGTTTTCTTACTATCTGACGAAGGTAAAGTCTATTGTTTTCTTACTATCTGACGAAGGCAAAGTCTATTGTTTTCTTACTATCTGACGAAGGCAAAGTCTATTTATTGTTTTCTTACTATCCGACGAAGGCAAAGTCTATTGTTTTCTTACTATCTGATGGAGGCAAAGTCTATTGTTTTCTTACTATCTAACGAAGGCAAAGTCTATTGTTTTCTTACTATCTGGCGAAGGCAAAGTCTATTGTTTTCTTACTATCTGACGAAGGCAAAGTCTATTGTTTTCTTACTATCTGACGAAGGCAAAGTCTATTGTTTTCTTACTATCTGACGAAGGCAAAGTCTATTGTTTTCTTACTATCTGACGAAGGCAAAGTCTATTGTTTTCTTACTATCTGACGAAGGTAAAGTCTATTGTTTTCTTACTATCTGACGAAGGCAAAGTCTATTGTTTTCTTACTATCCGACGAAGGCAAAGTCTATTGTTTTCTTACTATCTGACGAAGGCAAAGTCTGTTGTTTTCTTACTATCTGACGAAGGCAAAGTCTATTGTTTTCTTACTATATCCGATGAAGGCAAAGTCTATTGTTTTCTTACTTCCTATAAGTAAAAAAACTCACTTGCCAAAGTTCTTTTATTGATTTTTCATAAACACAGTCTCCATTGTAGTGCCATATCTTATACCTTAATAAGGACAAAACATAATAGCTACGAAGATTGGAATGAATTGATAATCTTTTTTGTAGCTGTGGGCTAGAGTGCATTTACAAGTATAAAGGAAATTATTTTACAACAATTGTATTACGCTATGTGTATCTTTATTTGAGAAAAATTTAGTTTGTTCGGTTTGCAAATAATCTGACGTGACAAGAAGGGTAAATAAGGCTTGTTGTCAATAATCTCTCGGTAATATTAATCTTATAATCATATATGAAAAAAAAAGAAATATGAAAGTGAAGAATAATGAATTTCCAATAATAACAATAAGTGCAGGCGCGAGCTAAAAATAAATGGTATAACATATATTTATATTATACAAATTGTATGATTACGTTATTCACACATCATATAATTTGTACCACCTATATTATATAAAAAAAACTGAACCCTTTCAAATTCAAATTAGCTATAACGTATTGTAGTAATTTGACAGCTCTAATTGCTTTGAATTAATGGTTGGGTAAGAACACAAGGTCTTGTACTCATGGGACAAAACTCTTAAAAACTTTTAAAAGTTTCTAATTTTTATTTCTTTGAGTTTCGTCCCATGAGTAAAGACCTTGTGTTCTTACCCAACCATTAATTCAAAGCAATTAGAGCTGTCAAATTACTACAATAAGTATATAGCTAATTTGAATTTGAAAGGGTTCAGTTTTTTTTATACACACTATATAGGTATTGGTAATTATGTTAATATATACTCTTAAAAGCGCCTATTTAGGGAATGAATTCAAATATGTCATACGGGAATAGTGAAAAAGTTTCCAGCATCTATACATTACCCATTCCCCTCACGTAATCTTGGTGACGTAGTTGCAGTCATAAAATGTTGACCATCAGGACACCATTCAAATGTCGTAGAATCACTGGCCTGTGTGAAAGATAGGTGTACAAATACAAATGCAGTAGAAACACTAGCCAGTATGAAATATAGGGCAACATGGAGATACAATCTTAAAGGGTCTGTACAAGAGTATGATAACAAACAGCAGCAATATGTGTAGCAGATACCTGAAAAATACAAACAGAACTTCGACGTTTCGTGAAGTCACAAACTTCAAGACGAAGGACATTCGCTCGAAATGTCGAAGTTCTGTTTGTATTTTCGAGGTAGATGCATCTCCAACATAGAGATAGGTCTCATGTGTAACATTCGAATACAATTTAACGACTAGCCAGCACTAAGGATAGGACTAAGACACATGAATGTTAGATCAATATGTTATCAATGTTAGATCACACATGCAGTTGAATCAGTAGCCTGAAAATGCGTCAGAGATGCGATAGCCGACATTAGAATGTAGGAATAGATATAGGAGGCCCATAATGAAAACTACTGGGTTACCAGTAATATATGTAAGCCTCATTAGATAAAGTTTTCCCTCTTCTTCTTCTATTAGCATCATTTGCAAGCAACCCCTTGGATATGTCCTTCTGACCCTCATTGGCTGGGAGGGTCAGATTCAAATAACAATTTTAGATCTACCTGTAGTTTGTTAATCTCCTTGAACCGTTTCACATCCCAAAATTCCTGAGTAAACAAGAAAATCACTGTATAACTACATTGATTCTCAAATATGATTACGATTAACGTTCATTGTCAAATATGATTACGATAGAAACCTACCATGTTACCTCGTAAGTTACCAAAGCCAGCCAAACAAAGAACTGTTATATATCAAGAAATTATAAGTTTGAACAATATGATGTGATAGAAACCAATGCCTACCTTCTCATAGGCACCTATATATAAAGTTAAACTAAAAAAACTAAAACAATCGTACACCTCAATACATCATTTTGCTGACACAAATTTTCACCAGTTCCTAAAAGCGATTATACGTTATACTGGGTCTTGTACTCTTGTTCCAGTCCCTTCGTAGGTGTTACCGAGCAATGACATACCCTAGAAAACCACTAACACTAAACAAGCTACAAGCAAACTTATTTATAATTATTTTTCAAAAGGATACTGTTTCCATGTGTATTAAAATAAACAGCGTTCCTTGGTCCAGTTCCGAAATCAAACACAGATTCACATTTCAAATTAAAAATTGTGGCTTTGGCTGGCATATCTGGTTATATATTGTTAGGGAACAAAAAATGCTAACAAAAGGACATAAATAAAGTAAAATAGATGTGGTAGACTGACCATGGGGGAGGGGGTGGGGGCAAATTAGGTTGCCAACAGCAGCTGGAAATCTTTAAACTTTTTAGCCTTAAATTTCATGTAATCTATAGCTTAATTTATAAGCCTATTAATGCTTTCGTTATTGAAAAGGCATATAAAGGCTTTCAGAAATTATTGGGCGGGTTGTTGTTGTTGTTGTTGTTGTTGTTGTTGTTGTTGTTGTTGTTGTTGTTGTTGTTGTTGGCAAACGATGTCGGAGCGACAATGTTATCATAGGTATCATAAGAGCTGTATGGGTGAAAGGAAAGGCAAAGCCAATACGTCTGCATGAGGTAACGGCAGCACTTGTATCCTGGGGTTACCGTAACCCCAGGATACAAGTGCTGCCATACGAGTAAGCTTTGCCGATATCAATTGTTAATGGATCCCAGGCCACTTTCATGGATGACTCGCCCAACTAACCTTTCTGTTGTCCAATTCACCCTCCACACCCCCAGGGAATGTCCCAGTTGCCAAGAACGCAACCATGGACGGCAACCCGACAATGTGATATCTACAGCACGGGGCTACATGGATCTGACGATAAAGAATATATAAGGATACATCCATAAACAACACAAAACTGCGTGGAGTTCGGATTCCAATCCATTGCGTATATAGGACCTTTCTTTGCTAAACATTCAGAAATATCATTATGGATAAATATTTGTATATGAAAAAGTTTGAGGTATTGAATATACTGTACTTACGTAAAACAACCATATTACTGTCACCATTTGTAGAAATAAACTGTAGACTTTGTTCCCCATAATAAGATCCCCCAGTTTGGTCTACTTCTGTACTTGTTAGAATCAATGCAGACGTTCCTTTATATCAAACAAATAATCAATATCAGAATAAGCTTTGAGAATTGCCGAAACGTCAAACTTTTGGTTTAATGAAAACTGATAAGAACTGGCCAATGGGCAAAGGTCTTCGGTGGGCAGCCGTCAGAGAAGCTGCTTTTCAGCTTTGAGATCGTGGTGGCGACTCTGGCTTCCTCCCACATGCAGGAAACGTTGAAAAGGTGCATTTTAATTCACAACCACATCACCGACAGTTGCCGTTAAATATATATCGTGAAGAAATGCGATAAAGAAACGAAGCTTACCTTTCTTGTTCCAAAGTAAACTCGCCTTCTCAGCTTTAAAAAAACTTTTATTGGCAAGCGGTGTATCAAAGTTAGGATATTGATATAACCTAACATAGCTCGGGGCGGCCTAAAGTTAAACAGATCAGTTTAAATTAGACAGCCGTACAAATACCTGCACAAATACCAGTGGCGTAGCCAGAACGATAATTGGGGGGGGGGGGGGGGGGG